GCCACTTTGGGCCCAACCATGTCCGGAAATTGATTATTATTGCAGGTTCATTGGTTTGATGGTTGCTCTTATATTCTGTTATAATGTTGTTGTTTTATTCTGTTTTATGCTGTTGTTTTTGTATTTTAGTGTGTTATATTTTAGCTACTCGCTTGGGTACCTGGCGGCACCTGGGTTATTTGAAAAAAGCATTGTTTGTTTTGGGATGTTTGGTAATAACATTTAGTTAATTACCAACACTATTTCTTAGGAAAACAGCCAGAATGTGATTTAGTTTTTTATGAATGCTGCCATTAGAAAATACATAATAATGTGGGTGAAGAACAATTCCCAGAATCGTGGGTCAATCCTCCCCAAATCAGTTGCACAGTTGGCCATGTTGAATGTGCCAAGTTTAGTCCAGATCTGTTGTTGGCTGGTTTCAGTACTCTCTGGATAAGGGTAAGCTACAATTCGCATACGCCAAGGGCAGTCACCCCCAAATCCTGCCAGTATTTACAGTTGGCTATGTTGGGTCTGTGTGTCAAGTGTGGTCCAGATCTGTCATCTGCTGGGTTGAGGTGAACTATAACTTCCATCCTGTTGAGTCAGCCCTCCAAACCCCTTCAGTCTGTTCAGTTGCGGATCAATTACTCTGTGTTTTCTGTGTGCCATATGAAAGGGTAGGAAAGGGTTAAGGGAGAGGTAGTGGGCAGGGTCATGCAAATTCCACACAAGGAACCCTGGGATGCCTGCCTGTCAAATCTAAAACATGTCAAATCTAGAATGAAAGACTCCCCCAATGAAAGCATTCTTTGGGTGGTGGGCCGTAGGGAGGACACTGGCAACACATGGGCTACATGTTCATGGTGCTCACTCTTTGGAGGCTTCTGGGCACTTGAAACTATAGCCTGTTTGTGGAAGCAGGAGGCTGTCTGTGTAAATGGACACCTCCACAACATACACACATACACATTTTTTCACTTTTATAATATGTATAGATAGATAGATGTTTGTTTGATCTTGTCCCCATGTAAGTCGCCCCAAGTCCCGCCGGGGAGATGAAGGCAGGGTACAAAAATAAAGTTATTATTATATTATTTTTGAATGTTTTCCATTTGTGTTTCTTTGGACCCACTCTAAGTCCCTTTGGGGAGAGATGGCAGGTTATAAATAGATAAATAAAACTTATTATTATTATATTATTATTATTATTATTGTTATTTTATAACTGTATGGTTTTCTGGCATTGAATATTTCTACCGCTTCTGTGACTGTTCATTTGTATTTTGATTCTGTAGTCCACTAGTTGATGGATGTTCAGAATCAGCAGCACCCACCGTGGTCCTTTTTATCCTGGGAGACGACCAAGCCAGTGTAGACTTCGTTTTGGTTTGTTTCTCCATAGTGCTAATGGGTTAGGTACTCTTAGTTCCACTCCTCAGCTGAGACTTCTCTGACTTGATAGGACCTCTGGTAGTTACACTCCCACCAGCACAGCTCTCAGTATCCTTGGAGCAGTTAAGCCCCCCGACCACAACAAGGTGGCACCCATCGGGGGTGTGGGACTTTCAAATCCAGACTGACAAAGTTTTGGAACACAATGCACCAGACATCACAATTGTGGAAAAGGAAAAAAGTTTGGATTATTGATGCCGCCATACCAGGTGACAGCCAAATTGACGAAAAGCAACAGGAAAAACTCAGCGGTTATCAGGACCTCAAAATCGAATTGCAAAGGCTCTGGAATAAACCAGTACAGGTGCTCCCAGTGGTCATCGGTACACTGGGTGCCATGCCAAAAGATCTCAGCCGGAAATAATAAACATTTGGAAATAATAAACATTGACAAAATCACAATCTGTCAGCTGCAAAAGGCCACCTTACTTGGATCTGCACACATCATTCGAAAACACATCTCACAGTCCTAAACGCTTGAGAAGTGTTCAACTTGTGATTGTGTATTACAAAATCCAGGATATCTATATCTATCTCATTTGCTGTGTCATGCTGTGTTTTTGTGTCAGAATAATAATAAAAGAATAATAATTATTATGATTATTATTTTACTGACACAAAAACACAGTATGTCACAGCAAACGAGATATATATGTTGGATTTCATGTCACAAAATCACAAGTCAAACATTTCCCAAGCATCTCTCTGGCTTGGTTGGGCTTGCTGGTAGTTATACTACCGCCAGCACAGCTCTCAGCATCCTTGGAGCAGTTAAGGCCCCCCACCATGACAAGGTGGCACCCATTGGGGGGAAGTATTATTATTATTATTATTATTAGAAACACAACAAGATGAGTTCACAGCAGACAGTATGCTGGCTGCTAAATTGGATCACACGTCGGACACTTCTCAAGTGTCTAGGACTGTTATTATTACTATTTGATACATAACAATATTAGTACACAGCAAACAAGATCACTCTGCTGGCTGTCTAGGACTGTGTGATGTATCAGGAAATAATGCATGCAGATCCCAGTAGGGTGGCCTTTTGCAGCTGAGAGATAGTAATTTTGTCAGTGCTGATTGTGTTTAAGTGCAGGCCAAGGTATTTAGGCACTGCACCCAGTGTGCCGATCACCACTGGGACCCCCTTGACTGGCTTGTGCCAGAGTCTTTGCAATTTGATCTTTAAATCCTCATATTACGTCTGCTTTTCCAGTTGTTTCTCTTCAATCCTGCTGTCACCTGGGATTGCAACATAAATGATCCATAATTGGTCTTTAAATACAATTGTGAGGTCAGGAGTCTTGTGCTCCAAAGCTCTGTCAGTCTATTATCATTATTATTTCACATATGGCCAGAACTCAGGAGCAGGTTTAAGGGCTACTCCATTCCCTCCCTCTCTTTGCTACTAAGGTTGGGGATGATGTGGGAGGACAGCGGGGGAGTCTTCATTTTATGTATTTACAAATAAACACTTTTTTCAATATGTGGTGCTTCTTTGCAGTTCTATCTTGCATTAAACTTGGTCGTAATAATTAGCAGCAAATCAAATTTGGGGGAAGGCGGCTTGCCACACCTGCGATCGTTCAGGGCAAACATCAAAAAGGTGGCAGAGAAAGTGAGGAAGGAGAACAATCAGCTGTTTACATTTTTTAACAGTAGCTTGAGCAGGTGGGAGCCATGAAAGCCTGCATTAAAACTATTATTAAGCATTGCTAAAGATTCTAGGATTTCAGCCTTTTTGGCATAATACTTTCTTTTTTAGCTGGAAAAAAAACACCTCCCAACGAATTCTACAAACTCCTGTTCCCGAAGAGGCAAAGTGGTTTAGTAAGGCATCTAACCGGTCTGTCCTGATGCCGTCAAGTCTCCTCCTGTCAAGTTGTTCACCAGCCAAAATCCGCCTCCTGTCCTTTGTTTTGTCAAGTTGGAAATACGAACTGGCTCTTAAATATGCGAGGAAGGAGAGGTGATCGCCTTAGCAAGGGATTCAGAAATGGATAAACCGGGCAACAGCTTGGAATGCTTTTGCCCGTCTCCCCCTTCCTATGATCTGAAAGTATGTTTGGAAACAGGGTGGCTCAATTTAGACCAAGGCTTTTTGAACTTTAGCAGCTGACGTGCAGCAGAAACCTTTACACACTGCAATGTTTGCTGCCTTCTCCAGTTGACGCTTGCGGCGATGAGGACACAACTGAACTCTCTGGGTCCGACAAAGCACCTGCTAGGAGGGAAACCACAACCAAAAGGCTATTTTGCTAACTATTTTAGCCACAGCCTGTGTCCTTGGAGGATACCATTTAATACTGCTTCTAAGTTGCCCCATGATCTAAGTCATAGGATTACTCAGAGATAGTTTTGTCAGCCCTTTCTTCTGAAATTCTATTACAACCACCTTATGTTCACAGCCATGCACAAGAAAAGAAGTGGGGAGGGAGGGTAGAAAAAAAGAAAGAAGCACATTTCTGCCTCCTTAGAAATTTTGGGGCTACAAATCTCAGAAGCCCTCGGTCAGTACCAAAGTATTCCAAACCATTGGGTTACTGTGAGTTTTCTGGGCTGTATGGACATGTTTCAGAAGCATTCTCTCCAGACGTTTCGCCTCCATTTATGGCAGGCATCCTCACAAGTTGTGAGGTCTCTCCAAGGTGGGAGGCAGAACTCTTGTCTGTTTGAGGCAGGTGTGAATGTTGCAATTGGCCACCCTAATTAGCATTGAATGGCCTTGCAGTTTTGAGGATGCCTTTCATAGATGCAGGCAAAACGTCAGGAAAGAATGCTTCAGGAACATGGCTATACAGCCCACAAAACGCACAGTAACCCGGTGATTCTGGTCATGAAAGCCTTCGACAATACATATTCCAAGGTAAAGGCAAAGGCAAAGGTTTCCCCTTGACATTAAGTCCAGTCATGTCTGACTCTGGGAGGTGGTGCTCACCTCCATTTTCAAAGTGGAAGAGCCAGCGTTGTCCATAGACACCTCCAAGGTCACGTGGACGGCATAACTGCATGGAGCAACGTTACCTTCCTGCCGGAGCGGTACCTATTGATCTATTTATTTATTTAAAACTTTTGTATCCCAATCTTCTCTACCTCCGTAGAGGGACTCAGACCGGCTAACAGCAAGGATTCAATGCTAACAATACCATCTAAAACATCGTACATAAACAATAAATTAAAATACATATAGAATAAAAACCAGTTCGTCAAGATAAATCCATGTCCAACTCAGTGCGTATACTACTCACATTTGTATGTTTTCCAACTGCTAGGTTGGCAGAAGCTGGGACTCACAACGGGAGCTCACCCTGCTCCCCGGATTCAAACCGCCAACCTTTTGGTCAGCAAATTCAGCAGCTCAGCGCTTTAATTTGCTGCACCACCAGGGGCTCCACATTCCAAAATATGTTTAAAATCTGAATAATTTCCCCACATCAAGAATGATCTTGCCTCTCCCTTCTACCTGAATACTTTAAATGCCTCTGTGCAGCAATCCTATGACTCCCCAATTTCCATCCCTCATCCCACATGTCAAAGCACATCGCAAAGTGGTTGCTTACCTGCAGCAGGTGACGATCTTGCTGGCCCTAAGTTTTCATTCTTCCTCACCAATCCGTCTGGTTGCAAATGTAAATCCCCTTCTCCAGTAGCGGTGGGCCCAGTATCTTCTATATCCTGGGTCTCAATTTCAGATTCCAATAAAGGAAATATTTCCATGGGATTTCCAGCCGGAGATACCAACTGACCATTTGACTCGGTCATCAGTGGGGCTTCATGGGGTTCTTTTGTTATGTGATCAACATTATCCACCAAAACATTACCATCTTCTGGAACAGGACTGTGCACTTCCACTTGCTCTGGAAGTTCAACAACACAAGAGGGAGAGGGTTGCAAAAGCTGCTCCTGTGGCTCAGCTTGGCTGTCTTCCCCCTGAGCCTTGTGGGCTTGAGCCATAGCTTCCAAGGGGGCTACGTTAGCCACAAGGGTAGCTTCACCCTCAGCCACCACAAACAGCATTTCCGAACCAGAGTCAGCATCACATGGGGGCTCTTCGGCAATTGGCTGTAGCAATATCCTTGAAGGCACATTTTCCACCTCCTCCCCTTCCTGGAGAAGACTTCCTGGGAGCAGCTCACAGGGGGTGAGCAGTGGGACTTCCATTAAATCAGAAGCTCCACTGGCTGCAGAAATTCCACATGAAGCTGAATCAAGATCCACTTGACTGTGTACCACAGCATCAGCAGAGAGGACCTCCTCGTCACACAAAGGGGCATCCTCTGAGAGTGCAAGCGTTGCTTGATAAGCCCCAACTTCACCAACTTTCACATTCTCACCTGCTACTGGGTTGGCGGCTTCTCCCTTTGAGCCGACCTCAGGATTACCTTTGTTTACATGGAGTTCCTCAACTTGATCCAAAGCAGGAGGTGGCACAACAGCTGTTGTTGCTGTTGTCAGGCCCTCTAACGAAGCCGTCTCCTTGCCAGGTAGTTCCTGCCCACTTTCAGGCAGTTGTAAACTGTTCTCACCAAAATATTGCTGCCCAATAACCGGAGAATGATTCGTTGTTGTTAGCTCAAGGCACACGGGGCTTCCGTGCTCGGCAACCGCAGTCAGTTCTTTTGCTCCCGCTGCCTCCACGATTGTTTCTGCTGCGACTTCCTGGTTTTGTTTGGATTCATTATCATGAACAGCAGAGGGTGTGCCCATTAAATTACCCTGTAGACGCTCCGTACCCTTGCCAAGGGAAGGCAGGGCAAGGTCCTCGAGGCGCAGAGACGCCTTCTGGCCGGCAGGGGCTGCTTGGGCATTCTCTTCCTGAGCCAGAGTCAGTCGGGCCTGCTGGATAACGTCTTCCACAAGCAAGGCGGAAGCCGCAGCTATGAATTCCTGAGCGTTTTTGCTAAACCGGTCCGGCTCGCAATCGCTTCCTGCCATCTCGGCTTGTTTACTGAGAGTCTGCTCCTCGACGAGGGATGGCACTGCAGGGCTTAGGAAGCATGGAGGCAGTTTAGAGGCACCAGTGGGCTCAGTGTGCAAGGGAGAGACGCTACAGTGCTCATCTGTGCCAACTCCCTGCTCGTGAATGTGGCACGGAGCAACATCCAGGCCCAGAAAGAAAGGAGTAGAGTCAGCACTTCCTCCACAGCTGCTGGTTTCAGTTCCTGGCAGCTTCAGCTCAACGTTTTTTTGCTCCTCCTGCCCGTCAGCTACAATCGGTGTTATGCCGTCACTGGCAGGGAGGTTGATGGCCTCCATGTACGTTGGACCTGGCTTATCACTTTCTGCACTGGGAGGAGGAGGAACATTTTGGACTCCGTCGCCCAAATCCAAATCACCCATCCCAGCATTCATATTATTCATATGTCCATCTTCCCATTCTTCTCCATTACTGTTTATTTCTACTACAGGGTCATCTTTTGTTGACTTCTCCAAAATCCCCACCATGTTGATTGCAAGTGGGTCTTCCAGAGCTGAACTTTGCACCTCATTTCCCAGGCGCTCGCAATCCTCAGGACATTTTCTAAACTCATTCTTGTTGGTGGAGATCTCTGGTCCTGTTTGTTCACTCCTTCTACTCTCCAAAGGACCAACATCTGCATCAATAATCACAAGCTCATTACCTTGTGGAAGCATCACTTCTCCAGGTCCATCATCATCATCACGCACACTTTGGCAAGCAGCAATGGCACTATTATCTCCAAGCAAGGATGCAGTGGCCACATCAGGTGATACCACTTCCACAGCCGTGGTTGCAGAGGGCTCGCTATCATGCTCGTCATTCTCCACAGGCTGCTGAGCTGTTGTGGTAACGTCTGTGGCTCCCGTACAGCTCTTGCATTCTCCTTGCCCCATCGCTACATTGCCTTCCTTGCAGGAAGCTGGCTGCTTTATGTCTCTTGGTGTGGCTGTCTCCACTTCCTGGGGAAAGTTAGCACTGTCGTATAGTTTACCACTGTCGCTCAGGTCGTCTGGCCCCAAAACAACACTGGGGGATGTCATCCCAACTTCCCTATTTGTACATCCACAGGAGGGGAGGTCTGCAGTCCCATGAAGTCCATTAACCAGGCACAGCTGCTTGTCACGTTCCTCCGATGCTGCCTTAAAACCTGCAGCAAAAGCTAGCCCCTCCTCTTCCTCTTTGTGCAGCTCAGCAATTGTATGTTCACTCCTACAGGAAGGTCTTGAGTTTTCGACACCCTCCAGCCCCAACAACACTTTGGGTATGTCTAAGAGCTCGTCCTCTTGCTGGCAGGGGCCCTCCTCAAAGCAAGAAGGCACCAAAATCTGGATTGCCTCTAGATCCAGTGGGTCAGAAGGATCTCCCTGGCTTCCTTCTGCCACAACTTCACAAAGATTGTCCCCGGGTGCAGCTGTATGGTCCCTCGCGTCAGTGCTTGAGCTACAGTCCTTGCAGGGCTGTGCAGGATGTGGGCATTCGCTTGGATTCTGGAAGGGAAGAGAAGAAGAAAGAAGGTGAAATGCTGTTTTCTGTGAAACACTCTGACAGCACACATAATAATTTGCAAGCCTCAAAACTCTTTCCCCACTACTGCTAATAATTCTAAAGAAAAGCTGCACAGGAATCCTTCCTAGGAAGGAGGAAGTCCAAGGGTTACACATCCTAGCAACTATGCTGTTATATGTGTTGTCGAAGGCTTTCATGGCTGGAATCATTGGGTCGCTGTGAGCTTTCCAGGCTGTATGACGGTTCGCCCACACCTATGGCAAGCATCCTCAAAGGTTGTGAGGTCTGTTGGAAACTAGGCAAGTGGGGTTTTTATATCTGTGGAATGATGTCCAGGGTGGGATCCTGGATGTTCTAGATCCAGGAAAGTCATGCTATCCCTCTATTCTGCCTTGGTTAGAGGCAGAATATTGTGGAATATTGTGTCCAATTCTGGGCACCACAATTGAAGAGAGACATTGACAAGCTGGAATGTGTCCAGAGGAGGGCGACTAAAATGATCAAGGTCTGGAGAACAAGCCCTATGAGGAGCGGCTTAAAGAGCTGGGCATGTTTAGCCTGAAGAAGAGAAGGCTGAGAGGAGACATGATAGCCATGTATAAATATGTGAGAGGAAGTCTTAGGGAGGAGGGAGCAAGCTTCTTTTCTGCTGCCCTGGAGACTAGGACGCGGAACAATAGAATCATAGAATCAAAGAGTTAGAAGAGACCTCATGGGCCATCCAGTCCAACCCCCTGCCAAGAAGCAGGAATATTGCATTCAAATCACCCCCGACAGATGGCCATCCAGCCTCTGTTTAAAAGCTTCCAAAGAAGGAGCCTCCACCACACTCGGGGCAGAGAGTTCCACTGCTGAACGGCTCTCACAGTCAGGAAGTCCTTCCTAATGTTCAGATGGAATCTCCTTTCTTGTAGTTTGAAGCCATTGTTTGGTGTCCTAGTCTCCAGGGAAGCAGAAAACAAGCTTGCTCCCTCCTCCCTGTGGCTTCCTCTCACATAATAGTTTCAAACTACAAGAAAGGAGATTCCATGTGAACATTAGGAAGAACTTCCTGACTGTGAGAGCTGTTCAGATGGCGGAGATCTAACATCTGGGTTGCAGAGCGGTCCGGTGAGATTATCTAATCTGACCTCAATCCCCCCCATCCTGACTCCCCCAATTCTCCAACCACCGCCACCAGCTCCCAGGGATTCGAAGGAGCCCTTGGTGGAGCTTTTTTGGCGAGTTTGGCGTGTTTTCATCGGAGTTAAAGGAGTTAAAAGGAAAAGAGAGGAGAAAGGAGGTAGAACACCGAGGCCTTTTCCAACTAAGGCCTAATAAGGCCTTTTCCATCTAGGGCCTAATAAGAGCGTTCCCTCCCAGTTGGGACTGCGGCTGCTAGACCACCCAACCCCTCGACCGAGCCCTCCGACCGCCCCCCTCACCACCGGGAGAAACAGAACCTTGCAGCTGCCACGGACGCCATTACCATAGGAGGGCCTGCAGGAAGGCCTATCGAGACGCTGCCCTGACTGTGTCGCTCGGCGTTCGGCCCGGCGCTAATACGCTCGTCACTCAATTCGGCTTGGCACTCTGCTTCGCTGGCGCGCCGTTCCTCCGCTACTCCAGGCGCCTACCACCTTGGCGGTCCGGCTGCCCAGCGGTTTTACGGCCGCGGGGGTCGGCTCTCGCCCCCTTGTTGTTTTGCTGCGCATTGGATCTTCGGAGGAAGCGGACCGCGTCTGGTGTCGTCGCGACTGCCGTTGTTGCTGGGGGACCGGGCACACTGGTTGCTCTCGGCCTGGTTTCCGGTTGGCACCTCGTTGCTTTCGCCTCGGCGTTCCGGCGTCCCTTGTGGCCTATCGGTCCATCAGCACCCTCGGGCCCAAGGAAGGCTGGCTTTTCTTCGTGCCAGCCTCTCGTCAGTTGGCTGGCCCTTCGCCTGACCATCTCGGCCTTGGCTCCGGGCATTCGGCGGAGCTGGCGCTTCTCGCTGTCTCCAGACCTCTGGACGTCTCAAGCTCAGGGAGGCCTGGCTTCTCACTGCGGCCATCTTCTAAGGCAGAGACTCGGCCGCGGCCTTGGGAACTGACGACTCGCCTGCACTCCCACCTGTGGCCGCCTGTGTTGACTGATTATACGCCCTGATGCCTGTGTTGCTTGTCAACTGACTGTGCTGCTCAATCCGTTGTGTGGACTGATTGTGTTGACCGATTGTGTGCTGTACGTTGTACGGACTAACTGTGTTGACCGACCATTCCTCTGCCTTTGGGGCGTTATCATCCTGTGTGGAACGTGTGTCGAATCTCTGCCATCCATGTGACACCTACCATCGCGTCCACTGTTCCATCTCCGGAAGGATTAGTTTTAATCTGTGGTCATTGTATTATAATTATATGCTATAATTAATTTTTATCAACGATTTGAACGGTGCTGTTATTCCTAGCTCGGCACTTTAATTTACCAATCACTTATAATTATATGTTACAATAATTCTTATCAACATTGAACGGTGCTGCTAAATTCAATTCTAGCACTTTAGTTGTCAGCACTTTAGCTCATTTGCACTGAAGTGGTCCTTTTAACCTGCCTTACCTCAGCACTTTATTTCCCTCCATGACGCACTTTATGTAGACACGTCAGAATCAAGTGTTATGCCTATTGCACTTTAACAACTTTTTATTATTTGAATAGTTGATATAACTATGTGTGCACTTTAAGAACGAGGGACAAGCGGATTGACAGTGGTTTATTGAGAATTTTCTACATCCCCACCCATGCTGCTACCCATTCCCTGGTATTGGTATCTGTTAACCCTTCTGGTAACCAGTGGTAGTATAGGTAAGGAATGGAGTGGACTGAGGAGTCCCAGAAGTAATATAGCATGGTTTGAACCTATGAATGTAGACTGCGTCATGGAGGAGGGAGGGTGTTCCAACCGGGGAGCCCCCATAGAAGTCGTGGTGGGGAGGGGGAGATACAGGAAAGGGAGACCTCTAATTCGACCTAGGGAATGGGGAACAACTTTAGTAATCCCAAATCGGTCTCCTGATATGATAAGTCGGTGTAACCAGGATGGCGGTCCTTCCGGATTGAAAGTGGTGCTGTTGAACGCCAGATCTGTCAACGGTAAAACAACTTTCATCCAGGATATAATCCTGGATGAACGGGCAGATCTGGCGTGCATCACAGAGACCTGGTTGGACGAAGCGGGAGGTGTAAACTTAACCCAGCTTTGCCCACCAGGTTTCTCTGTGCAGCACCAACCGAGATCCGGAGGGCGGGGAGGCGGGGTTGCAGTGGTCTATAGAGATTCCATTCGTCTGACCAGGGGCCCCATCCCGCAGTCAACAAAATTTGAATGTGTCCACCTGAGGGTGGGTGACCGGGACAGTTTAGGGATTCTGTTAGTGTACCGTCCACCTCGCTGCACTACAGACTCCCTGACTGAGCTAGCGGGGGTGGTCTCGGACCTGGCATTGGAGTCCCAACGGCTACTCGTGCTGGGGGACTTCAATGTCCACGCCGAGGCCACCTTATCGGGAGCGGCTCAGGACTTCATGTCTGCCATGGCAACCATGGGGCTGTCCCAACAGGTATCTGGCCCCACCCACAGTGCTGGACACACATTGGACTTGGTTTTCTGTCAGGGATGGGAGGAAGGTGGCGGTGTTGAGGAGTTATCCATCTCTCCGTTGCCATGGACCGACCACCACCTGGTCAGCTTTAGACTCACTGCACCCCCTAACCTCCGCAGAGGTGGAGGACCCATTAAGTTGGTCCGCCCCAGGAGGCTTATGGATCCAGATGGATTCCTGACGGCTCTTGGGGAATTTCCCGCCTCCTCGGTTGGTGATCCTGTCGATGCCCTGGTCGCTCTCTGGAATGGGGAGATGGCTAGGGCAATAGACACGATCGCCCCAGAACGTCCCCTCTCAAGTAGCCGAGCTAAACCAGCTCCTTGGTTTACTGAGGAGCTGGCAGCGTTGAAGCGAAAGAAGAGGGAACTAGAGAGCGTGTGGCGTTCGGATCCGAGCGAGCCAAATCGAACACGGTTTGTGTCCTTTTTAAGGGCATATGCCGCGGCAATAAAAGCCGCAAAGAAGACTTTCTTTGCGGCCACTATTGCGTCTGCAAAGAACCGTCCGGCTGAACTGTTCCGAGTTGTCAGAGGCCTGTTAAAACCCACCATGCAGGATGGGTGCCCTGATGACTCGGCAGCTCGCTGTGAAGCCTTTGCTCAGTTCTTTGCAGACAAAGTCGCTTTGATCCGCTCTGGTCTGGATACCATATTAACGGCAGTCTCTGAGGATGTAACACGAGCATCTGCTTGTCCGGTTTTGATGGATTCATTTCAATTGGTTCAATCCGAGGATGTGGACAAGGTGCTTGGAGAAATGAGAGCTACCACATGCATCCTAGACCCCTGCCCATCCTGGCTTCTGAAGGAGGCCAGAGGGGGATTGGCCGAGTGGGTGAAGGTGGTGGTTAATGCCTCCCTTCGGGAAGGCAAATTTCCAGCCAGCTTAAAGCAAGCTGTGATAAAACCGCTGTTGAAGAAACCATCACTGGACCCCACTCAATTCGTTAACTATCGGCCTGTTTCCAATCTCCCCTTTTTGGGCAAAGTCCTGGAACGTGTGGTGGCCTCACAACTCCAGGCATTCTTGGTAGACACGGATTATCTGGATCCGGCACAGTCTGGCTTTAGGCCGGGGCATGGTACCGAGACAGCCTTGGTTGCCTTAGTGGATGATCTGCGCCGGGAGCTCGACAGGGGGAGTGTGTCCCTGTTGGTGCTGCTGGACTTCTCAGCGGCCTTCGATACCGTCGACCACGGTATCCTTCTGGGACGCCTCGCGGGGATGGGTCTTGGAGGTACTGTTTTACAGTGGCTCCACTCATTCCTTGAGGGTCGGTCTCAGAAGGTGTTACTGGGAGACTCCTGTTCAACCCCACAACCTTTGTCTTGTGGGGTTCCTCAGGGTTCAATATTGTCTCC